GATTCCACACCTTGGCTATTGTAGTGCTGCAGTAAACATGGGGATGCAGGTATCTCTTTGGCATACTGATTTCCTTTCTTTTGGATAAATACCTAGTAGTGGGGTTGCTGGATCATATGGTAGTTCTATTTTTAGTTTTTTGAGGAAACTCCATATAGTTTTCCATAACGACTGTACTAATTTACATTCCCATCAACAGTTTCCTTTTCTCTGCATTCTCACCAGCACTTGTTGTTTTTCGTCAATCAATGATAGCCATTCTAACTAGAGTGAGATGATATCTCATTGTGATTTTAACAATTTTATTGGGTTTGCATTAAATTTATAGATTACTTTAGGTAGAATTGACATCTTTACAATGTCGAGTCACCCTCACTAGGAAACATACATCTTCTCATTTATGTATATCTTGTTTTATGACCTTCGATAAGGTTTTAAAGTTTTCTGCTTATAGGTTCTACATATTTCTTGTTAGGTTTATTCCTACGTATTTCACCATTTTAATTGCTGTAGTAAATGTGACTGTTTTCCTCCATTATATTTTCTAACTGATTGTTGCCTATGTATAGGAAAGTTATTGATTTCTACATATTAATTTTATTCCCTGACACCTTACTGAATTTTCTTATTGTTGGTATTAGTTTTAAAATTGTTTCTCATTAATTTTTCAGGTAAGTAATTATATCACCTATGCATAATGAGAAGATACCCCCATCTTCCAATGTTTACATCTGTATCTTGTCAAATTGTACTATCTAGTACTTTCAGAACAATATTAAATATTAGTGGGGAAAGTAGGCCCCTTTGCCTTGCTCCCTATTTTAATGGGAATGCCTCTAGTATTTTGCCATTAAGTACAATGTTGGCTTTTGGCTTCAAAAAAAAAATGTATGATGATAATGATGTTATGGAAATAGCCATCTTTTCCTATTAGTTTTTTTTTTAATCTAGAAAGAATGTTAAATTGTTATCAAATATATTTTAGCATTAGGGAAACTGTAATATGACTTTTATCCTTTGGTTTATTAATGTTGTCAATTATATCAATAGCTTTTTTTAAAATATTGAGCCAGTCTTGTATTTCTAGAATGAGCCCCACTTGTTCATGGCATATTATATTTTTAACATTCTCCTGGATTCTCTTTGGTAACACTTTACTTAAGATTTTTGCATCAGTATTATTAGGTACGATTGGGCTCTAGTTTTCCTTTATTGTATGTTCTAATTGTTGGGTTTCGGTATCGATGTTATGCAGAAATCTTTTCTTCTCTCTCCATTCTCTAGATTCTAGTGTCTAAAAAGTGTAAATAACATTGGTGTTGTCTGTTCCTTGAAGGTTAGTAGAATTAACACAAGACTATGTGATTGTGCTATTTTTTAGTGAAATTTATCAGATGTTTTTTATGGTAACTTGTGGATTTAGATATTTTTGTTCTTCTGCAATTGTTTTTGGTAACTTTTGTTTTCCTAGAAAATCATTCTAAGTTTTCAAATTTGTTTTTAAAGAGCAGAGCAAAGTATTTTTTTACTCTTTTCATTTATTCTGTATGTGTGGTTATTTCTCCATTTCTAATTTTGTGCCTTAGGGTTTTTAAAAATTAGGTTAGCAAGTCATTTATCTGTTGTATTGTTTTATATTTTCTTTTGAAGAACTTGCTTTTGGCTTTAATTATTAGTTCTCTCATTTTTTTCTAGTGTATTAATTTCCACCATTAGTTTTACTATCTTCCTGCTTCACTTAGTCTTATTTTGTGATTCTTTTCTAACTTCCTTTGTTGAATGCTTAATGCATTTATTGACTTGTTCTTATGTATTAATATTAGTATTTAAGCCTACAAATTTTCCTTTGACTACCACTTTTATCATATTCTCTAGCTTCTGATATTTTTATTGTTGTTATTTTCTAGGTATTCTGAAATTTCAGATTAGATTGTCTCTTTGGCTAACATGGAGGGGTATTTTTCCCCGTTTATTTTCTATCTGCTAGAGATTTTACATTTTCATTTTTGTTATTACTTTCCAGTATTACTGTATTGTGATTAGAGAATGTGGTCTATACTACTTCTACTTTCTGGCTCAGTATACAGGATGAGTATCTCTTATCTGAAATGCTTGGGACCAGAAGTGTTTCAAATTTCACATTTGGGGGATGAGCCCATGGCGCACTCGGGAGAGTGCAGTGCTGGGAGCACAGCAACGCTCCCGCCGTGGGTTCAGATCCTATATAGGGATGGTCGGTGCGCTCACTGGCTGAGCGCGGTGTAGCCGGTTTCAAAAAGGACAAAAAAAAAAAAATTCACATTTGGGGGGAGGGTGTGATTTTGAAATATTTGCAGAACACATACTGGTTGAGCTTCCCTAACACAAAAATCCAAAATGCTCCAATGAGCATTTTGAATGTCATGTTAACAATCAAAAAGTTTCAGATTTTGGAGTATTTTCAGTTTTGGATTTTCAGATTAGGGATGTTCCACCTGTACAGTCAATTTAAAAAATATTCACTGGGCTCTTGAAAACAAAGTATAGTCTTTACTTTTAGTATATGAACACATTTAGATTTCTTTCATTATCTTAATTCTTGACTGTCATAACCTGTCATCAGCTGAAGCAGTCTCATGTTTCATTTCTGCTTTTTTCTACCTTTGCATTTTCTACAGATTTTGTTTAAAGAAATTTGATGCTATGTTTTTTGGTGCATAAAGATTTATGGTAGCTAGACCTTTATCATGTGTTCTAGTCATTAATGTTATAGTGCCCTTCTTTGTCTTGTGCATTGCATTTAATTCAATTTTTTTTTATATGAGTATCACAACTCTTATTTTTTTTTATTTTGGCATTAACTTATTTATTGAACAAATATTTATTGAACACCTACTGTATGCCAGGAACTAGGGGCCAAATGAATGAGACAGACAAGATACCTGCCCTCATGCAGCTTACATTTTAGTTAGAGTAGAGCAAAAATAAATAAGTAAAAACAGCTATGTAATATAATATCAGGTGGGGATGAATGCTCTGAGAAAGAACAAAGTATGATAAGAATGATTAAGGATAAGTCATCTCTATTTTATACAAGGTGGTCAGGAAAGGCCTCTGCCCAGTACACATTTATCATCTTTTTACTTTCCACTCACCACATCTTGTTTTTGCTTTTTGTTTTGTACCTGAGGGGATATGCCAGGTGGAACAGTTTGTACACAAGGGATTTTTACAATCTTAAGGATCTATATGTGGGCTAAGGCCCAAATGAGAAGAGAGTGGGAATGTCTGGATATGAATTTCTGACCCAGGCAAGTGATGAGCTCTTCAGGATGGGGACTGGAGATGAGAGGAATGAAGGACATTTTGCTTTCTGTGCTATCAGAGCTTGGCTACCATTATGTGTATTATTACTTTTTAAAGAAATACTCCCAGTCTTCATCATGACTCTTCTGTCTGATGATTTAATTAAACCCCCGGAATTTCCTGTCACTGGGCAGGACTTAGCACAATTCTGATTGCTCACAGGCCACAGCAGGAAACCAGATCTTGTGGCTTAACTGTTTATACTCTGAGGATAAACGATGTCTTTCAACTTTGGTCACTCTATTATACAGAAGTTTGACTTTTTATACATATTCAAAAATACCTGGACTTGTTTTCCTTAGAGATTTTCTTCTATTGCCTATATGCTGAAAATCTTATTTCACCTCATAAGTGATAGTCTTTTTATTTTTCTGGTAGTTTTTTCTTGTAACTGTATTATATATGACATATAATACATACATACATATATGCACACATAACATATATATAATAATTAAAACTATACAGACGCATATACATGCACACACACACACACACACACACACACATATCCTTAACTCTTGATCTGAAATTTATTTTGGTATATAATATATGGTGTAGCTCCAAATGGCACTGTTCTACAGTTATCTCAAAAAGATTTATTAAATAAACTTTATCTCCTTGTTTTGGAAGATTATATATATGATATTTTCATAGAGAGTCTGGTTTGTTTGTGGGCTCTCTGTTCTGTTCTGTTAATCAATAACATACTGTTTTAATTACAGTTATTTTATGATATGCTTAATCCCTCACCACCTCCTCATTAGCAGAATACTCTTTAATATTATATCCTGCTATTTTTACAAGTTAATTTTTTAAACTCTATAGTTAAAAAAATTCCTGTTGAGAATTCTGATTGGAATTACATTAGACGTAGATATTTTAAATCCAAAGTAGCAAACATTTGTGAATGGCCTTCTCGGTGTTTTTTGTGACAAGTGTAAGGACATAGACAGAGAGTATACATATCAAATTCATGATACTGGTTACATCTAGAGAGGTAGGACAGGAATGGAAGTGGGGAGTGATACAAAGGCTAGCATTCCTTATTTCTTGAGAAAAATTCATGAAGCATGCATAGATGGCAAAATATTAAAATGTGCTAATTCTGGTGGTAGACAGGAACATGGGTTTTTATTATGTCCATCTGTGTACATTTCTAAATATTTGAAATTTTTCATAATGAAAACAAAACAAACAAAAACAACACATGGATCTGGGTAACAAGACTTGTAAGCCCCAGAACAGAGCACAGCCACTCTGAGTGCTATAAACAGACTGGGGTGATGTTTGTGTATCCGTATTTCGGAGCTAAATTGTTCAAGTCCAAATACTAGCTCTTCCACTTCCTGGCTTTATGATCCCAGGCAAGTTACTAAACCTCAGTTCCCACAACTATAGAGTCAGGACAATAATAATAGCTACATCCTAGCGTTATTGTGAGAATTAAATAAGTTAAAAAGTGGAAAGCACTTAAAACTCTGCCTGGTATTCAGTATATGCTCAGTAGGTGTTAGCTACCATTATTATTGTATTTACTACACATATTACATTGTTTTGTAACCATTTTAAATTTTACATAAATGTTGTCATCCAAAATATGAGCACATCTGAAACTTGCTTGTTTGACTTAATCCTCATATGCTGTTCTGCAGGGAAATGGCTCATTCCAAGGATAGCTTTTCATGGGCAACCCCCTTCCATCCTTGCCTTGAGAACCCAGCGCTGGATTTGTCAAACTACCGAGCAATTTCTTCTCTTGACCTTCTTGGAGACTTCAAACACGCCTTGAAAAACAATGAGGAAACTTCAGTTTATGAGGAGGGGAGCTCCTTTGCCTCCATGCCCCATCCATTGCGCAGCCGTGCCTTTTCTGAGAGTCACATCAGCTTGGAGTCCCAGAGCACCCAGGCCTGGGGACAGCATCGGAGAGAGCTCTTTACCAAAGGTGATGAAACCCAGCCAGATCCTCTGGGAGCCAAGAAGAAGGCCTTTCCTCCTCCTCGCCCTCCTCCTCCCAACTGGGAGAAGTACAGGCTCTTCCGTGCAGCCCAGCAGCAAAAGCAACAGCAGCAACAGCAACAGCAGCAACAGCAGCAACAGCAACAGCAGCAACAGCAACAGCAGCAACAGCAACAGCAGCAGCAGCAACAGCAGCAGCAGCAGGAGGAGGAGGAGGAGGAAGGAGAGGATGGAGAGGAAGAGGAAGAGGAGGAGGAGGAGGAGGGAGAGGAGGAGGAAGAGGAGCTGCCTCCTCAGTATTTTAGTTCAGAAACCAGTGGTTCCTGTGCCCTCAATCCTGAGGAGGTCCTGGAGAAGCCGCAACCCCTGAGCCTTGACCACCTGGAGGCCTCAAGGCCAGATTCACAAAGCCTCCTGGCAGAGCAAGAGTCCTTTGCTCTCCATGCCAGTGATTTCCTACCTCCAGTAAGGGACCACTTGGGATCTCATACTGAGCAGGCTCAGCCCCCTTGCTATTATGGCATCAGAGGGCTTTGGAGGACATCAGAGCAGAAGGCCACTGATTCCCCCAAGTAAGTTCTTATGACAGATATCGGGTCCCTGAAGAGGCAGGCAACATGAGTTTGAATTCCATCTCCACCATTTACTAGCTGTGTGAACTTGGCCTGGTCAATTAAATTGCTCCAAGCCCATTTTCTTACCCGGAAAATGGGCATGATGATACCTGTTTCACATGGTTGTTGTGAATATTAAGATAATCTATGTAACGGACATAGCTCCATGCTTAGCACATAGTAAATGCTCAATAAATGGGAGTTGTTGATGTTCTTATCCCTAAATACCATTATTAAAGTACTGTATTTTTTTTCTAAGCTTGTCTTTAAGGTATGCATCAATTTCTCATCCTTCATACAAGGGCATTAAACCCTTGTTGCATATGGTAGGCCTTTCCCAGAAACCTGGTTCAGACCCCTTTCTACTTTTTCTTCTGCTTGCCCTCCAGAATTAGAAGCCAGCTCACAAGCTGACCTGCCTCTACTCTAGGATAAGTAGCTAGGCCTCTAAACTCTTCTCCCTACCCCCAGCATCAAAGGTATTCCCAGGGCTGGGTGCTTTATGCCCTGCTGATTTCTTGCAATAGCTAAGGACATTCTTTTTCTCTTCACTTTCTCCCTGTCCTTGTCTCCCTGCCACTTTGCATCTGCTTTGGTGGGCTGTAGGTGGTAATTGACAGGGGGAGCTTCCTGGGCAGGGAGGCTAAAGCAGAAGTGTGGTCTGGCTGCAGGACTGCCGGTGTCTGTTCACTCCATTGAGCCAGTGCTCGTCTATGTGCCCCATAGTGCATGGTTGTCCTTTTTGCCCCAAAGCAAAAGCCCCAGGACCATCATTGCTCAGTGCCTTGGCTCTTAACTCTGCATGCCCTCCTGTGGAGAGCTTAGCCCACTCTTTGTTGGGGGTGCACATGAAGAGACAGGAATCTTCTAAGTGCTTTCTTTAAATCTTTTTATAGCAGGAACTTGCCTGAGATTTGTTGCCATTACAAGTCCCTTGTTATTGTGTCTTTTATTGACAGGCAAATCCATTACTTGTCTATCTGGAGCAGGTTGAGCAGTTTTCTAGCCCAAGGTGCCACAAGCACAGCGTTTACAGGGCCTGGCTCTCAGGCACTGTAAGAATTCCTTATCAGATGCTATGTGACTGCTTCTCAAGCTGTCCATCAAGCTGGGGAGCATTCTTATTGTGATTGTTATCTATCACAGCAGGGAAAAGGGAAGATGACCTAGCACACAGCAGGCAGTTAACTAATATTTCAGAAGAAGGAATGAATAAATGAATTAATGAACATTTATTAAGCATATACTATGTGCCAGACACTGCTAGGCACTTTATATCCATTATCTCATTTAATCCACCCAACAGCCCTATGGGCCATTATTATCCCCATTTGACAAATGAACAAACTAAAGCTTAGCAAAATAAGAGACTGACTAATTCAGAGTTATACAGCAAAGACTTCAGGCCAGATCAGTCTGATTCCAAAACCCATGCTTATTTTGCCTTCCTAGGCAGCCTCTCTCAGAGAGATCATGTTCTTCCAGTAGGCCAGGACTTCACAAAGCCCTCTTCTTCCCTGTAGAGCGGTGTGTACCAGAGGAAGCAGTTACAGGTCATGTTCCTTTATGTATTTCCATTCACCTTGACACCTTGGCCAGGAGAAGGAAATTGTTATTACTAGAGATCTTGTAACTTGCTCCAGAGAATTTTTTTTCAGTGACTATGGGATACAAGGGAAAACATTTGCATGCACATAGCCCTGGCTTGTGGTTACGAAAATCAATTATGGATGCTTCTTAGAGTGATGGATATTTAATGAACAACTTCATTCCCAACATAGCTAACATTTTTTGCCTCCTTACTATGTGCCAAAGGTTGTTCTAATCACTTTCATGTATTGATTGATTTAATCATCACAACAAACTTGTGAAATAGTTATCATTAGTCTCTTCCATTTTTTAGATGAGAAAAGGGAGGCCCAGCGAAAGAAAGTAACTTTATTACCAGATCACAGGTGACCAGAAGCCAAGTAGTCTGGCTCACTGTGCCTGCTACAACATCTCAGAATCTCTGGGCTCCTGGAGAAGATTCTAGGAGACCGTAGAGAGCACAGAGTCTTAACCAGAAGGAAGTGACTTTAAGATTTTGTAAGAAAGAATAGTGTTAGGGGCAAGTAGATGTGTAATATTTTGATTCTAAAATGCAAAAAATGATATCCTAATTCCAGCCAAGTTAAACTGCAGTGTCTCTATAACCTATGTATACATGTATCAAAACATCACACCTGTACCTGTAAATATGTACAATTATTATATGTCAATTAAAAACAAAATAAGACTTTAAAATGATTCTTAAAAATTCTCGGGGGCCGGCCCGGTGGCGCACTGCTATAGTGTGCCGCTTGGGAGCGCTGCGGTGCTCCCGCCGAGGGTTCGGATCCCACATACAGACCGGTTCCCGCTCACTGGCTGA